CCCCGCGCCCTGCGCCGCCGCCGCGCCGCCGGCTCGCTTCCTCCGGGTTCCCAGCCCCGGGTGCTAAGGCTCCGCTCTATAAATAGCAGGTTACAGCTCCCGCCCCGAGTGCACACGCTCACCCGCGAACGCCGGAAAGTCAGGCTAAAAGTGTCTGCTGCTGCCGCTGCCGCCCCCCATTCTGCCTCCGGGAGAGGTAATTACCCGCCAAGGCTCCGAGGGCTCTGGGGGGGTTTTGTAGAGTGGGGTGGGGGGCGGTGGGGGAGGCGGGAGGCGTTGGAGCGGGTCTGAGAGCGCGCGGGCACATCTTGGCGGGGGGTGCTTGTCTGTTTTGGCATCAAGTTTCTCAGTCTTGTAGCCCCGATAGCCCCTCGCGCCTAAGGGGTGTGGTGTGCTGCCTCTCCTCGGTGGCCGGGGTACCCCTGACACCCGGGGACCCTCTGGCCGCGCGCCCCTCAGTCAGGCCCGCGCTCACCCTCACCTCCTCACACTCTCTGGGCCCCGGGTAACTGAACTCTGGCCTCACTGACCTTCCAAGGCGGCGCCCACCTGCGCGGTCCCTTTGGAGTGGCTGCGGTGGCCCCGGGGGGCTCGCTCTCACCCCCATCCCGGCCGCAAAGCTGCCGCCGATACCCGCCTCAGAAGTCTTCAAGGCGGGGGATGGGGGTGGGAGTAAGAGTGACTGATACTGGGGTCTCAGTTGCCTCGTTTTTAGATTTTTTTTCTGAAGAGCTCCTCTCCATGAGCACCCCCAATCCCACTCCCAGCAACTCATTCTGGAAAAGAAGCCCGGTACGTCTCCTCTTAGCCACCTAGCATCTCTTGTCCTACCCCGGAGAGGTCTTGCTAGAGGCGTTAGAGAGCGGGGGCTGTGGCTTGAGGGCGCAGTGGTGGTGGGGGTGGGGGGTTGTTTGGAGTCTGAAAACTGCGCTGCAAGGTCCGCAGCTCTCTGGCACCTCTGGTCAGGAGGGCCCAGGCCCGGGGTGTTAGGAGCCAGGGGCTGGTTCCTGAATGGACTTTCAGGCTTGTAGCTGGGACTGAGATCAGGACGCTGGAGCTCCACATACCTGTTTTTGCCTCTGAAATCTCCTGCCTTTTGGGTAGTGGTTTCTGTCCTGGCACAGTGGAGAGGCACCGGCAGTTCTGTCTGGGGACAAGAGGTATAAGGGTGAGGATGAGCATATTGATTAGATTGTTGTTGCTGCTGCTGCCGCCGCTGCACAAAACTTACTGGAAAAACCCGGGAGGGTTTTTTATTGCTCTTGTTTTAATGATGCGGATTCACTTTGCCTGTCTTCTCCACTTCCCCCCGCCCCTCTCCGGAACTAGGTTTCCTCCCTCTTTCTGAGATGTGTTATTTAAGGCCATTACATTTATGACTCCAGGTGTTACATTTTGCATATCTCCTTCCTCTCGGTATGACAGAACTTGTTTGTGAAGGTGTGGCTCTATAAAATAAGTGAAAGCCTGGAAGACAGAGTGTAGATTTGTCTTCCCCTCAGGATGGGCACTAGATAGCCTGCATATAGGTGTACGACTGCACTTCAAAGTCCTTGCTTGCAATAGGAATTTTCTTAGTGGGTCCTGGACCAGCAGTAGTGGTTATTGGACAATGCTAAGACAGCATATAAGGTGGAAGGAATCACCAGCAGGGCAGCTGGCTAGTGCAAGAAGTTGAGTAAAAAGAGGACTGGGTATGTGGGCACCGTCTCCCTTAATAGACCAAGAAATGCATTATCTTGTTCCTTTGCGATATATCCCAGTAAAGCACTGGTATGAAATCAAAGGAGATGATCGATGGCTTTGTAATACATATGCACTTGGGCGCTGAAGATTGAACTTCTTGGATTTGTAGTAATATAAGTAACTACTGCAGTGCAATGCTTTTCAACGTATTTCTTTAAAATGTGATTTGGTACATTGTCCTTGAAAGGTTATGATACGTATATACGAAGAGTCAAGATCTCCCATGTTGTTAGCAAACATATGTGCTAATTGAAATACTGTTCTTATTTTAAGAGAATATTCTCTTTGATTAGGCAGATCAGTATTTATTTGTGATAAATTAATGACCAGTTAGATTGTATATCTTTTTAACTGTGTTTTGCTTTTGATCCTTTGATAAAGTATAAGAAAAACCAGGCAGACCAAGTTTAGAATTGTCCCTCTAGCTGTTTAAAGAAGCACATGGTCAAAGTTATAGGCAGAAAATACTTTTTAAATTTTAGGTTTGAGCTTCACGTTGGGGTTGCAAATTGACTGAATGACTTCATTTCTCATAAGTTTTTTTGTCAAAATACTCATAGCATAGACTCATTAGTTAAATTTGATTTTAACATAATGATATTATATGTGAGCTGTGTGCACCAGAAAAATCACTGAGCTGAGAGAAAAGACAGATATTTGTTCTAAATTGTGAAAATTGAAAGTAATTCATTTCCTTTCTGAGACCAGGGAGTTTCTGCTAATAAAAGTAATATAAATCCTCACATGGGTAACAGAGGTAACTTTCACTACTTTGAGGCAAAACCCTAGGGGTCAGTTCTCCTAAAGACAAAGAAACAGGTGCAAACTGATCTCATATCTCTTAGCAATGGAGTGGATGTCAGCTGTCAGATTTACCTGACATCTGAGAATACAAAGTTTAAAAATTATGAAATCGTAATTAGTGAGTAAAATGCTTACTGAATGTCTGTTACATTTTCTTATTTCAAAATGTGCAATTCCCAGCTGGTACTAATATTAGATATACAGATACCATAATTTTTGTAATCGGTGTGGAATAAATTCTTATCTTTCATAACCATGGGGATTCTAATAGACAGAAATGATCTGTTTTAAATAATCTCAGGTTAAATATTAATATTCACTTGAAAGTTGTATCTGTCTCTTCTGTATTCTGTACCTTAATTTTTCAACACTTGCTATCTGTCTTTCTAAAGTCTTAGGGAATCAGCTTCATAGCCATTTTGTAGCTACTTTGTTGTATTGAGTTAGAAATCCGTGATTATAGAGCTCCTTAGAACATACTCATAAATATACATGCTTTCATATTCAGGCTAAGAAATGAGGTTATTAGACAAATAATTTCAGTTTAAACATTTATGTTTAGATAAATCCAAATGATGCTGCTGTGATTGCATTTTTGTGTGCAAGATGCACATAGCTTTTGTTTTTCAAAACTTTAAATGCAGTATGTACCTAGACCCACATGAAGATATGAGGGAAAAATGTAAGGAATCTTCAGAGTCTCAGGCATAATTGTCTTTTGAATCAAGATTTGTTCATTTACTTTAGATATTTTCACTCCCTTGTAGATCAATAGGAGCTTTTAAAAATGCTTATGAAGTTTTATTATCATAACTATATTGTTTGTGTATCTGCAGCTGCTGTGGGATTTTTCTTGTGTAAGGCATAATTGTAACCACTGTCTTGTTTCCTGGAAGTGTCTTGTTATAGTTGGTATGCCATAAGGCCAATGGAATATCAAGGAGCAACTTGACTTTTTTTTTTTTCCAATTGTCTTTGTACTTTTAGTGAACACTGATGGATGTAGCCCCAGCATAGAATGAGAAGAGTTGGATTGCAGTATAATATGTGTTCTTAAATCATGGTTTCCAAGCTGTCTCTCTTACATTGCAATATTTTGAGTAAGTTTTGTCTTCTGCATTGGCAGCAGTACCAGCTAGGTGTCCTAATTGTGTGGTAGAGGCCTCAAAATAGCCCTTTGCAGAGCTACGTGAAATCGACTTGGCAGCGTTCTTTTGGTTAAGCTGATTAAAGGAAATAGAAGTTTTCTAGATCATGTGGCTTTGATCAGAGATTCCTTTGGGAATTATCTAAATTAATGATTTCAAGGGGATGGAGACAACACTTCCCTTAAAGGAGAAATTCCTTTCTCCCTCCCTCCTCCTTCTCCCCTTCCTTCCTTCCTTCCTTCCTTCCTTCCTTCCTTCCTTCCTTCCTTCCTTCCTTCCTTCCTTCCTTCCCCTCCACTTGTCTATCATCTATGTTCCTATTTTTACCAGCCCTACTGGTTGTTAAGAGGAAGCAATGCAATAGGCCTAATACTGAAATGACTGAGCTCCGTTCTCCATTTCCCACATTTCCAGGGTTGGGGAAGTTTGTGAGATGTAGAGGCAGCCTTGAGACTCTGACTTTGAATTACTAGCATAACAACAACAATGAAAAATGTCTTCCAAGATCAGTATAAAATATAATTCTTTAAAATTTCCATATATGGCTTATTTTTAATGTATCATTTGTTTATACATTGTCAGTACTTTAAAAGGAGAAACGGAGATTTTTATGTTTCTCCAAAGGGAGCGTGATTTTTAAAAAGTTAAGCAACAGTGATTTAAAGGGAGTCCTCTGAGCATTTTTCACTATAATAAACTTAACTGACAGAAATATGACTCTTTCACCTTTCACCTTAGTTCTTAAAATAGATAGTTACAGTACATTAAGAGGACCAAACTGGGGACTACCCAGTGAAGCAAATAAGATGTACTCTCTTAACCCTGGCACAGTTCTCTATAGCAATTTGGTCTTTAATCCAGCCTGTCAAATGTTTCTCATTTCATTTCCTTGGGGCTTTGCTTTTCTAGCCAGAAGATCTGAGATGAGCGCCAGCAATTAGCACAATCAAATCACAAAAATCATTCACCACTGGGAAAAATAAAGCAGAACGAAAAACCAGTGACATCTTAGGTTGAAATTATGATGTGTAGATGAGCGTACATTATAACTATGTCCTTAAGAAAGTTTGAAAGTGTCAATAGTGATTATTTAACATCCTATGAAGCCCTTTTGAACATCTTCATATACCAAACTTGCTAGATAACCACATATTCCACTTAGAGCATGGGCATATATCATGTTCATAATAGAATATGTTGCATACTTGATGCACAGTATTAAAAAAATCACCCTTTAAAAGAATTTCATGTCTTCATTAACAAAACCCGTAAGTTTTTATACTTACTAATCAGATCTTTTTTACCTAAATTTATGAGCCAGGGATGATTTTATGTTATGTGTAATTTCATTTCTTCCTACTAGCCTTATTCTCTTGAAGCAATTATGAGTAAATATGTTCAGAGCTGTCTTTTTGGATAAATTTGCTTTAAAATAGGGCCTTTCCACATCCATTGTGCATTTGAATTGAAAGAGACATTGAACACTAGGTGGCAGTGT